GGGGGGGGGGGGGCTGGGATCTATTTCCCACGGTCAACCCCCAAACCCTTGTGCCAAGTGGATTGCTCAGCTCAGGAGCCGGGATCCCAAATGGAGTGTCAGACCTGTGTCATCCCCCCAGGGGGGCAAACTGACCTGGAGGTTTGGGGTTTAGAGTGATGCTTCCGTGTCTGTTCCTCCGCCCTCAACACTCTCCTACCCGGGAACCGGGAACCGAATGGGTGGAAGCTGTACTGGCAGGAGGTAATTTGCATTTAAAGAGAAAGTGACCTTTATTGCTGGTGGTGGGGTAAGACGGAAGAGCATCCCCCCCGTTTATTATGCTGTCCCTCCCATGACTTTACCTCCCAGCCTGAACAAGGTGACTACGACGGTTATGTGATGACAATCTAAAAACCCCTTCACCGTTCCCATCAGTGTTGGAGAGAAACTACAGCCTCACAAAATGGTGGTGGCTTTGTCAGAAAGAATGGAGAGAGGGAGAAGACAGAGAGAGGGAATATGAATGGATATATATAAAAGCATATAAGAAGCACCAGCAGCAGCAGCAGCAGCGGGAAGGAACTGCAAGAGAAAACAACCATCTTTCAAGTGGGTCCAGGCCCCGTTAAGCACTTTATGGTCATTTAATCCTCATAACAACCCTGACAGAAGATACTGTCATCGTCTGGTTTTACTGACAGTCAACAATAGTTTTTTGAGGGCAATACCACTCCTTCCATAACACCCAGTCACTCCGAGCTGGTAAGTGTTGGAGGCTGTACTCAGTTGGGACCAAGCCCACCCCTTCCCCACCCCCAGACCTAGGGGACCCAGGTGGGGAGCGTCAGGTGAATGGAAACTACTGCGCTTGAGTGCAGTCCCGAGGGAAACCTGAGCTGTTGTTGGAGGCTGACCCGTGCATCGGGTGCTGCCCCAGGTGGGGGGATGGGGGGCAGGAGGATCAATGGAGCAGCTATTTAAAGACCTGGCAGAGGCTCCCAGCTCAGGTCCGCAGAGAAACATCTGCTGCAACCCGAGACAGGCTTTTCTTTGGCCAGGCTGCCCTGCGGGCTCACATAACTGCCCCAGGGCAATACGCACAGCTGCCCCACCCACCTTCCCCTCCCGCTGGGCAGGGGCAGCTTCCCTAGGCCAGGGTCTCGGGCAGAGTTACGGAGGGATCAGGCACTGTTTCTGCAGGCTCCAGAGCAGGGCTCTTTCCCAGGAGCTTTCAACGCCCGCCCAGACTGCTCCCGAAAAGGAGACATTAATTCAGGCCTTTTTCAATAAGCAGAGATCTGAGGGAGGGGTCTGCAGAGGCAAAGAGGACAACTGGAAATCCCTCTCCTCCTCTGCCAGAACTGCTGGAGTGGCACTAGGGCCCTCTAAGAAAGTGGAAGAGGGCCCAGGAGCACCTCTAGGGTGAAGTTATTCTCCAAGCTGCTTTGCTTAGAGCTCCAAGAGTTGTGGTGGCCTCCCATGACCACCTCCAAGGGGTCTTTGGAACCTACATGGCCAGCACAGAAAATATCAGTCCATTAGAACCCTGACTGGAAGGGGCAGAGGCTCTGCGAGGACTGTTACAGCCAGTGTGGACACATCTACCTGTGGAGGCCTGGACAGAAGGGCACTTTGTCTCTCATTTGTTGGCCATTTCTGTGTGCCAGCCCAGCCCGGGCCCGAGAGAACAGGGTGCCGAGTGAGGATCCAGGGTGTCTCGTACAGGAGGGTGGGCTGGG